ATTTTTAAATGCCATCTTGACACCTCTCCTTTGTTTTCCCACACGTTCCTTTTAATAATCTGTTAAAGGTTTTTTAATTGATCTGTTCCGCTAATGAATGTGGCCGCTAGCGAGAATCGTATCTTTTGTCTGTTTGGTTGTTGGCAAGAAATCTGGGAGTGTGACAGAAAGTGTGAGAGAATATTTGGCTGAAATGTGACGCCTGCTCGGAACATTACTCAAGCGTTAGAGATTCTGTTCCTTGTAGAGTTCAGACATTCATGACCCGCAGGGAATGAATTGTCACTGTTAAATTTACTTGAATCAACGTATCTGTTCTAATGAGGTTGAATCTTCAAGTTTTATTATTTAATTCAACTTAACAAGTCACCTTAAACCTTCAGAACTTCTGAGTTCCTCTGACTTAACTCAACATGACCTTATCAGCTTGAGTAAAAGTTAAAATGTCCTCCAATACAATTTCAGCTCAACATCTTTTGATTTCCTCTTTTGCTGCCGTCATAATTTAAAAAAAAAATCTGCACGTTAGTATCGTCACTGTGAGCATTTTATGAAATTTAAGCATTTAGCACAAATACCACAGACCGTACATAAAGACGAAGCACATGACAGCGCCCCAAAAGTGAAGCGAAAACACCTGGTGACTGGCTGCAGTATCCGTCATAAACCGTGTCTCCTCCATGTTAGTGGACTGGACATTGACTAAACTAAAAAGTCAAAGTAAAAGCCAAATACGTTTTTACCATCGTGGTGTACATAACTAGGAGCAGCTTATTAGAGCTGCTGGCCTGGTTTTATAGAGTCTTGTGGAGAAACAATGTGTTTGTGGGCAGTCAACAAAATCCAGGTGAGCTGTTCTTTATAATCACACAATATTTTCTTAGAGGATCAAACCTCACAAATAAACAGTGAGTCAGTAGCTAACACTTCGCACGGCAGAAAACTGCGTGGGTTTGTGTTGTGTGCTCAGTGTCTCCTGGTTAATTATGTGTTTGATTTAGATCAGAGCTGTACGACGCCACTGTCCGTTAAAACAAAGGAGGAAGGAATGACTCATTTGTATGAGGTTTAAATAGCACATCAGGATATTACAATGCTCGGTCCCTGTGGCCTTTTCTCTTTCTCATTCCATTTTCTTAGTCCTATCCTTTCTCTGTTTACTCAGTTATCTGCCCGTCCATCCCTTGCATCTTCTCCTCTGTTCTCTCAGCCACTTCTTTAATGGCTTCTCTGCTCCTTTCTGATGCGCCTCTCGAGGATCCAAATACTGACAACATATAGTGTACGGAATTGATTCGCCCACTTCAAATGACAGAAACCACTGTCAGCTCACTTGTGTCCACTACAAATAAAATGCAAATGCTAATTCCGCTCCACAGCTGGGGCTTGAAAGTATCCCTGTATCTCTCATACAGTATATGATGGTATTAGAATCGCCTGTATGATGATACAACTCGCCATGGTGTCTCCGTTCAGAGCGGAGAAAAGATTGCTGTGACCGAGGCCTGCGAGGGAGATGAGATGAAGGGTAATCACGTTCGAATCATGCAGAAGATCAGGTGGGACGCAGGGTGAAATTATGTGAAGGTGAAGAGGAGCAGGACGTGGTAAGAGAAATCTGTTTTCTAGAGGGGAAGGGTGATAGTGAGGAACAAGAGGGTTAAAGGGTGGTGATAAGAGGAAGGTGGAAGAAGGACGGTCGAGGATTTTCTCCGTCTAGAACATATGCTATATAGTAAAAAAAAAGAAGACGTATTAGTTGTTGTCACTCGGTTTCCGTCTGTGCCCGCAGATGTGTGATATATTCATCAAACACCAGCCTGGATGAGCAGATTGTGTGTAATCAGTGAAGCGTGTCTCTGTTTAAAGGAGGATGCAAATAACAGGCGGAAATATGATACAGCCTGGTTTCACTGGATTTATTACGGTGCGTGAAATTTCCCCGGGTTTGTTTTGGAGGAAGTATTTTCAGAGGCGGATGCAGATATGTGATCTGTGTTTTAAAAGAAGCTGTGGCAGGCGACAGAAAATCTGTTCAGAGACAGCAGACATATGGTGAGTGTTTCTCATGCAAAACCATAGTAAATAAAGATGGACGACCCGTCTCCACTTCATCCAAATATCCAGCAATCAAGCTAAAATATCTCAGCGCGAACGTCTTTCCCATCTGCTGATAACTCAGCTGCTGCCTTGGTAAGATCAGATCAGAGGCTAATTTAATTCTGACTCAAAACATTGAGATTCTCTGTAGCGTGAACACTTGAACTGAGGAGCTAACCTTGATATCTGATTTGAAATGTAGGACCCTCAATTTAATAAAGAAACAAATATTGTCTGTTGTGTACTTCACATCCAGACATGAAGCGGAAATATGTGCATTTACAGACAGAGTCTGTGCAGCAGAGGTGGAGCCGGGGAATCAGCTGAACAGTCGAGAGTGAGTCTCTGCTGTCAGTCGTGAGGAATAGACACTTCAGCATCAGTGTGATGTAATATTTTTTCTACATGGCCTTTGACTTTATGGATCCTGTTTGAAAAACAAGGTAAATGCTGAGACCTGCCTCTTTAAACGCCTCAGAGCCTTTAGCTGGAGGTTTTTCTTTAGGACTAAAGCTCATTTTTGTCTCTGGCTTCTCAGTGTTATTACTTACTCTCAGGTCAGGGTTCAGGTCAGTCTTGTTGAGTGCTCCTTCTTGGGTGTTTTAAAAGTGTTTCTCCGAGATGCATTTTAAGGAAAATTGCAACTTGAAACTTCTCCCTCTCAGTGCTTCTGAGCGCTCTCTTATAATAGCCTCTCCGTGTCTGTGCCCATGACAACTGGACAATTTAATAAGGGCTCTCACTGCTCGCCAGCCGCTAACGGGAAGTTGTAAGTGGCTTGACTGCTGTGGGTCTAAGTGCAGGGGGTGATTATTACACTGCTCTCCTGCAGACAGAAAAAGACCTGGTTGCATGCTCAGAAACATGCTAACTGCATTTCACACAGGCTCTCATGGCACAAGAACCTGCGGTGAGAATGTGCGGACGTCCTGCACACCTCAGACCAGCGTCCATGTAGCTTCCTCGAAGCGATGGACGCTTTGATCATTTGGAAAGTGAATGTTTTTTTGGCCTCTACCGAACAATAAATAAAATGAAAAGGGAGAATGAGGGAAGCAGTGGCTCGAACCAGCGGAAACATTTGCCCTAAACTTTTGTCAAGAACGCTTTAATTTTACCTTTAACAGACACCTGCCTAGTTTGGTTCAGAACTTTGGACTGACCAAAATAACAGGTGCCTCAGACCACGGACTGGACCAAGGGAACAAAAGTCTTAGCCACGGTTTGGTCTTTGGATGGTTCAGACTTTCTGACCAATTGTAGGAAGAAGAAGAACAATAAGCGGAGGCCGTTTGCAGGTCCAGGATCAGGGCGTTCACTTTGCTGGTAGTAAAGACATCATGATATTATAACTAAATTAACAACGTGAACAGGTTCATTCATTCACACACGGCATCTGAAATATCGACGCTGTAACATGAACCTTGGTTTGGACCTTGGTCTGGACTTTAAGTATCTTAGTCCTATGATTTTAAGATACTAAATCATTACGACCGCACAGAGACACTAAAATAAACCTAATCTTGTTGATACGGCATATTGTGATAATGTGGTGATTTTTCATGTGCACAGAAACCACATGGAATCGATTTTTCCAGGATTCATTTGTCGCTTCTTCTGGTGTGCATGTCCTGTAACTTTATACCGGTGCAAGTAATATCCCTCCGTCTGTTTCAAAGACCAGAATCAATGACGTGAGCTCCTCCATCCAAACCACTCTGCAGTTCCTATGACTGACACACCTGAGCTCTTCTGACCTGCTTCTCATCTTCTGTCTTTTCTTTGTCTGACAGACGGTTTCATAAAAACTGAAAGTGACAACCACAAACTGATGTTTCTCTGAGACACAGATTACTGTTGAACTCTCATATCTCTCCTTCGCTGCCGGCATGTGATCGTGATCTTTGGTGCAAACAACGTCAAACAAGTCGAGCTTTTCTGTGACCGAACATTGTCTGATTTATGACTCAATCCAAACACGGCTTGAAAAGAAAACGCCCATGATGATGCAGATGCCTTTCATATAAATCATTGATCATTATCAAAGAGAGGATCACAGACGCTGAATATGCCGTCTGATTCTGAGACAGCTGATGTGTTCTTTCCTCTGTGGTGGTTTGATATCGTAAGATGCTGCGACAGTCTATTAATCCTCTGGGAGAATACGAAGGGTCTATAAATCACCAATGAAACAAAACAAGCCCATTTCCTGGAAATAATTCAAAGGATCGGAGCTCATTGGACAGGAAGTGAGACCCGGACTATTTTTGTCATGCAGAAGTTTTGTCTCTTCTTCCTGAAATAAAAAAAGTATTACTGTGATTTTATGAATTAATTTATTCATTTTAAATTATTTAAATTATTATTTTATGTAATTTAATGTGTGTATAATGTACCTTGTTATCTGGTTTTGTTCTTCATGTGGTATACATTTCGGGTTTTCAATAAAATAAACAACAGTCTTCTTCCTCATCAAACTTGGCGACTACCTAACCCACAATGCAACTCATTCACTAACAAATCTGTTCAGCTAATTGCAGCTAATGGAGCCTGGATAAAGCTCCCACGCTGACTTCTTATCTTATATTTTCTAAACGTTTCTCATTATAATGACTGACAGGATCTTAGTTTCATCACATTGCTGTGTCTTTAAAAACAAGCACATTTCCTGGGACATGATTCAAAAGATCAGAGCACATGGGACATGTGGTGAGACCTGGCTCAGGCAGCTCGTGCAGAAGTTTTGTCTCATGTTTTTTTTTCACAACACAAAGTCTCGTACACCCTCGACCCAAAGTGCTGCTGCAGTGGTTGTTGGCCTTTGCAAAGCAGAAGTAAGTGATGCTCCACCTGGGGCTCGTGTGTGCTGTGCAGCAGTTATTCATTTAGCGTCTACTTACGGCGCCGGTGGTGCCATCTGTGTCTGTTAGCCTCTGGTGCAGATCCAACCAGACCGTCTGCAAGAAGAAGCACAACAACAACAGCAGCAGCAACACGTCAATCAGCGAGAACAGTAACTACAACAACAGCTTGAAGCAGACATTTGTCAGTCACGGTATTAATGGACGATGTACGATGACAATAAGGTTCAGCCGGGGACCAGGGAGTTCGGAGGGGAGGTGGATGCACGCCAATTAACAAAAGCACAAAATAAAACAGAATGACTAATACCAGCATGAAAAATCAAAAGATACAAGAGCATTGAAATGCAAAAGTCCAACTGAACATCACAAGGACGGAGCTTTAGATGGTTGGAATGACTTAAAAGATGATTTCATTGCAAAAGAGGAAGGATGCAGGATTTAATGTCAGAGTTAAATCGCTAACGAGTATCTCATTGGATCCCCATGGGTCGAGGGAGAGGGAGTTAAGTTCAAATATTACACACACACGCACACACACACTCACTCACCCCCTCCCACTGCTGTCAGACAGTATCCAGAATGTAAAAATATAAATATAATAAATATACTTCTAATACTGTGTTCACGTCACTCTACTATTAACAGAAAACCACTTTTTGCACATTTGTGTTTATGAACAAAAAACAGGTTTTTACTTGCTCCAACAATCAAAAAAAATTTTTGAATAGAGAAAGAAATGAATTAACTTCTTCTACTTTGCTGCCACTGTAATGTCATTATGGGATCACAGGTACTATCAGCAGAATGAATGTAAATCCTATGCATTACTTCTTTTTTTTTCTTCTGTTGTTTAATGCTGTCTCCGTCTCAAAGTGCGCAGCAAACAGAGGAAACCTTGGTTGGGTTAGATCCCGACCTGTGTGATGCTGCAGAGTCCAGGAGGTTTTCTCTGCTCAAATCTGCTGCTGCAGCTGGAGACAAGGCCGATAACAAAGTGAGCGCGAACTAAAACAGTCGGGGGCCGTGAAGGCAAAACAATGAGCTGAAATATGAGCTGCGGAGTCAGAGGACTGTTTTCTGTGGCTTCATCACGTCCACACACTCGATACAGTGATGTGAGAATAAAGTCACTTTAACATCTACAAACTCCATGATCTGTCCTAAGACTGAAGTGTCAGATGTTTACCCAGTTGTCAGGTATTTCATTTACTGACTTTCTCACCTGGCTGATATCTGAGCAGTTTCTCAACTAGATTTTCCTGGAATAAACTTAATCAGGGTATATTCATATTCATGGGCTGCTCGGGTTAATATGCTCCTGTTGGAGATTAAATACTGTGTACAGTTATTTTTATATGTTTTAAAAAAAACACATCATTGGTGCAACATTCTCTTCTGCAGCCTCAGTGGCACTTACACCAGACGTGTGACTATAAACCAAGGCCTCTCATCCTGACACAGACTTTTCCAGGAGAAAAAAAAACGCACAGTCTTTCCTGCAGCACATGGGGAACGATAAAAAAAGAAAGCATATATTTTGCATTCAAAAGAACAAACGCACTCTCAGAGGAGCGTGAAGGAAAGCGGCAGGAGAATCTGAGCGAGGGAGCGGGAAACGTGAATGTGCCACTTTGAGGAGGGTTTGCAGGTAACAGGATTTCCAGGGTGCGTTATCACAGAGCAGTGGCGCCAACGCTGGGCACTATTTTCATCCTTTCACGCACAACATCGCTCAGTGTGTGGCTGGATTATTACTCACTCAGTAAACAATCCATGATTCAATCCGACACACGGTGATAATATCGTTTCCAGACTCCTGCATAGTCTTAATACTGGGATGTGTGAAGGTGATACCAGGCCAAACCGAGAGCCAAAGACAAAGCCACATTCAATAAGCCTCCTCAGAGCCATGTTTTGCTTTGATATGATATGATTACTGCAGTGTGCCGTCTGCTCTTTTGAAAATATAATCCAGCAGAAAATGTCTATTCATTGGCTTTTCTGCAGCTCTCATTATTCTGACAACACAGTGTGGAGCACAACTGTTTGGTGACCTATATTTTTTTTTTCTATGCATTTTCTGCTGCTCTCTGCTGTCAGTGGAGGCAGTTTGTTTTTGTTTGCAAAGATGATCCATCACCGAAAATCATAGAGAACTACAGACAGAAGAAAAGAGGACGCCATTATATTGAATAAATAAAATTACAAGGTTGAGGTTAAGTTTGGAAAATGAAAATATCTGGATTTATCTGGATTTTTCATTCTTATGCACATTTTAATAATGTATTCACTTACACACCTACTACATACATATTCATATATATACATTTTTTACTACTCGTTCTACATTAAAGGGTTTTCATGTTAGTGACAGAACCTTTCATTCCACTTTTATTCATTTTATCTTCATTGTCACAGGTTGACATTTGTTTACTGGCTGTTGAGACGTCCCTCGACTAAAAGACGTCCACACAGAACAGATAAATTGATGAATTATCACTGTCAACTCCACTTTTCCCTTTAGCGCAGATTTCAAGCTTCAATTTATTAGCAGCTACTTTCTCACAGTGAAAGAAGTAAATCATTCCTGAGGAGTTTTTTTTATCACTGTCTCAAACTGTAAAAATCAGATCTGACTGTGTTTATTCAGCCGTGAGAAGTCGTCCTTTGTGCCACAGTCCCTGTAAACACGTCGGGCTCTGGGTAATGGGCTCTCTGGAGGACCTCAGGGTCAAAGGTGATTATTGAACAATGAAGTGAGAGGCTTTCAGTCACTGGACTGAGAGAAACCCATCTACTTAGACCCATTACAGGTGTATTAAATCATCTCCAGGGTCCACAGGCTGAAGATTGTTTCTAAATAGGAATCAGGGCTGGAGACACAGGACTGTTCACACAGGAGCAGAACCAGTATATCGGTCGGTTGACACATTTATGTAAAATGATTGTTTATTTTTCTATTTATTTGGTTGCACTTGTAGTAGTGTTTCAGGGGCTGGCTGATGATGTAATCGAGTGGAGCAATATTGAAGCAGAGCACAGAAGAGTTTCATTGATGAAAACAAAAAAAAAAAAAAAAACGACGAAGAAGATTCAGACTCGGTCTGCAGAGACGTGTCTGAGGAGGAGAAGGAATGGGGATTTTTTACGAGTGTGCTTGATTTATAGGTTTGTTAAAAAATGTTTATGGACTTTAGGGTAAAGGAAATTATTAACAATGAAGCCAAATCTTTAAGTTATCAATAGTTTTATTTCAAATCTTTATCTGGCTGAGAAATAAAAATTATTGTAAACGTTGGCAGTTGTTTGTTTGCGTTTTTATTTGGTGCCTTAGCTCTTAATATCAGTATCGGCATCTGCATCCAGGACCCAGATCACTTTGCCCATAGTTCATTCATGAACAGGTTTTTTTATTCCCATTCTTATTTTCTATTTTCTTTATGTGACTCCCCCTTTATGTGATTTCCTCCCGCAGCCTCCCCCTCCCCCTGCAGGACATTGTATTTAGTTATTCGTAGCTGTATTGACCCACTCTCCATAAGACAGCTGAGTGTGCCGAGGCTCCATTAATCCTAACATGTTAAGTCGTGGAGGAGACGCAGGGGATGGAGAGACAAAGACGGAGGGGGAGGATGGGGCAGGGTTGGGGAGCGCAGGATGGAGGGGCATGAAAAGACATGTGGGACCAGAGAGATGCTGCAATAAGGTATACATAAGTAAAAATGCTCTTTGCAATAGTTTGGTCTTAATGTCTTTTTTTAATTGCACCCCCCCTTCCTCCTGTCCATCACTTAGTGTTAATTAACTCCTCATGCCCCCCCCCCCTTCTTCGTCTCCTCATTAACCCCCTGCGTCTTTCGTTTTCTCCTCCTGCTCCCGTTTTTTTCTCTTGTCCTCTGCGGACCTTCGATACGCTGCTTCGGCACTGCACAATTTCACCAATGTAAGATCTCAAATGAAAAAACTGTCCACAAGCAGACAACTTAATTAAGAAAAGAAAGTCAGAGGACAAGATCAAAGGTATCGTGCCTTGTGTATCCGATGGACGTGCTCAGGAAGTCTAAAGCTGAGAACTGACTGAGGGGCCACATCCTTCAGAGAACTCAGCGTACTCTGCCTCTGAAGACCGATGATTGAGCTGAAATGACACATTCTGGTCTATTTCCTATTTGCATGATCAGCTTGTCCCGCTCTTCCCGTTGCTTCGTTAGCTACTTTGAGAGGCTGCACGTACCGAGGCCCAGCAACCCAGGCAGCTTGTTAGTTAGCTTTGTCACCGGCGTGCAATGAATCCCCAGTTATTTGATGTAAAACATCATGATTGACAGCTGAGTCGAACCCGCTGCACAGACTTTGGATCCGAATGCACAACACAGCAGCTTTCGTGTCCCGGATATTTGGCTCCATTTCTGGATAATGGGAGGAGATGAAGATACGCCGTCCGTCTTTATAAACAGCCCATGGTGTTGACTTTAAAGCGTCACAAGCCAAAGGAATCTGAACTTCTACTTACACAACGGTTCAATGTTTAAAAGTGAGTCACAAAGACACTGTTATTTCTATTAAACGTTATTCTAACCAGAGCAAACAGTGCATTTGTTAAGATCTATTCATCGACAGATTTCAACACAGTTGATGCACTAATGTGTGTGTTTGTGTGTGTGTGTGTGTGTGACTCTCTATTCATGCTAATGTTATTCATTACCATGAACAAAAGTGTCACCCAGCGTAACACTGTGTCTGACTGATGTGTTTTTAATGGCTTTTGTAGCCTTGTGGCACAGATGAGTAAAATACATCATGCTCTGAATGCACACTTGTCAATTCAATCAAATATTGTTGTTGAAAATAATAACAGTATTGAATATGGACGACCTCATCCTTGAACCTCAGGCTTTAATTTCAGGGTTGGGGATGTAGAGGTTACGGCCTCCGGGGAATAGATGTACTGTAAGTGAACGTTGTGTATGTAACTATATGTGAACGAAACAAGTTTGTGTGTGTGTGTGTGTGTGATCCTGACCTTATTCTCCAGTCGACCGATTAGTTCAGCGAGGCGGTTGATCTGAGCCTCCAGACCTTCTTTCCTCACCTCCACTGCACCTGCAACACACACACACACACACAGTATTATTACACAGACTGAATGAGTACCAACTCACTTGAAGTTGTTTCACTAGTTTCTGGGCTGTGGCTCGATCTGATGCAGCTGGATTATATTTATTTAAATTCATGTCATATTGAAATCACATTTTCAAAGCCTGACCGTTATAATCCTCTTGAAATATTAAACCTGGGACTAAACAGCTCACCCATGACTACACTGTCGATCTTGATGAGTGAGTTACCACCAGCGCCATCGTTCTTCTGTCCTGTTTGTTCCCCTTTCATTTAAAGTTATATTAATTCATTCTTTGTTTTTTCTTTATTGGCTGCTTTAAACACACAAGATCACAAATCTACAGTGAGCAGGTTCTGCAGGCACCTTAAAACTATCATTACCCTCTTCTAATCTCTCTCTTTTCATTTCCATTGTTTCATCATGAATATTTCATGCAAAGTAGGACTTCCAAAGAGGCTGATAAATAGCCAATTATACCTGTTTATCGGAAGGAACTGGCCTTTTCAAAGACAGTAAGGGAGCGGACAGAGCTTCTTTGAGGTGCTCTGTTTAATCAGCTCTGACTGCACAATGATTTTTAGATAGCGAACCACACAGCTCTTTGTAAACAGCTTTGGTGTTAGACGCAAAGACAAAATGTACAAAGTACACTTTTTGCTGCAGCGCTGAACATCAGTTAGCGGCAGCAAAGTGCCAAAAAAATGTTGCAGTTTCACTAACAGAGGCAAGAAAGAAGACGAACGCTGCTAATGCCTGAAAGTCTGGAAAACGTCCAGACCCAACAGCTTATCTGAGCAATTAATGATTAAAAAACAGTTTTAGACTTCAAGGACGCACACCGCGTGTAGTGATGAGAGACGGTGAGTGTTAACATGACCTCTGTTTGTTTGCAAGAAAACACCACGGGGCACCTTTGTATCTCTTCATTATCTGACGTGTATGGTGAAGGTATGCGTAAAAAACTGAGGAAGAAAAGTGAGAAAACATTTATTCTTCAGGATTTACAACACCTCCATTCTTTTCACCTCCTCGCTCTTCTTTTTCTCCTCTATCCCCCATTCCTTCCTCTTCCCCCCCCCCCTTCCCTTTCTCCTGAGCTGCCGTCTTCTTTTCATCCCCTGATGGGCCCCTCACAGCTAATTGGAGAACTGGCTGCATACTCTTCATTAAAAGCTTTAACAACCAGTCAATTAGGAGCTACCTCCCTCCATCCCAAACACACACACACACACACACACACACACACACACACACACTCATCAACTAAACCATAGTGTGTAACCAAGGAGACAGTTGGAGATAAAAGCCCGGTGGTCATTTTGATGGATTTAGAAAAGAAGTGCCCGGGTCAATTATAGAAGTGTGTGAGGAATTACAGCCTTCGAATTTAGCAGCAGGAGGAGGAGAGCGGGGGGGAGGGGGGGTCCTCCATTGACTTTCTCCTCAATTAAACCTGATTTGATTTATTTCACATTCACCTAATTTAACTCTCCATTCTGTGTCACCCAGTATTTAAATGTGTTGACGTGAATCGTGGGGGGAAAAAAGGTCCATTGCCGCTTTAGAATCTCTTAAAATAAGTGGCTGAAAAGTTCAAAAGTTCAGCGTAATTTCACCCCGGGTGCTAAGTCTTCTGTGAAATGGAAAAACAACGGCAGAAAACTGTGATTTTAACTCAGCTGCACAGCCAAGGACGTTTTTGGACCTAACTGGACAGACAGGAAGAGACGTCACCCGACAGAGAAAAACTCATGTGGGCCCAGAGCTTGAGAGTAAAGGTGAGGGTTGGACCGTAGAGGGGCCAGTAGATTGACAGTTTTGCCTCGTGGCTCAGCTCCTTCTGCACCACAGCGAGTCAGTACAATGGCCTCATCACTGCTGACGCCGCACCAATCCGCCTGTTCATCAATCCATTGTCTTTTGTCCCAAAGATTTTTTTTCATCTCGGGAGCATTGCACTCAAGTGGAACCATCCATCCCTGAGCATTCCTCCTGGAAGCTTTTATTTCAAGTCACCAAGAAAACTGTCATTCTGCCGTCTTTGGATTATCTAATGAGAATCTATAAGAAACGTAGTTATAACTGAACTGTAATTAAAGCCTGGACATGAAAAGACATCACATCACCCAACCTAATGGAGCATTAACGACTTTATCTGTATCTTAAAATAAAATCATGAGTCTCATTTTATGTTCCTGCCACTGACACATTTTCAAGTTCCAATTTTTTGCCCATGAGATATTTAGTAAGGCTGCTCTCTGTAACTATGGTAACCGCTCCTCTGGATCTTAGAGCTCATGCAGAGCGTTGACTGAATGTTGGGTTTTGAAGAACCAACATCAAAGTTCTGTCTGTATCCATTGATAAATTCCTCTTTGCCCACAAATGTCTTGCATGGTTGCTGTTGTCTTTCAGCCGCTAACATCAACATCTGCTCTTTCCGTTTTTATCATATTCACGTAACATGATCATTTTCTGCGCAGCAGATTCTAAATGAGCCATTAGGAGCAGGCAGACAGATAATGATCAGGACACTAAATGTTGAAGCTGAACTGGAAACAAGTGGAATTACACTGAAGTCACAGACCAGCATCTCCTCCCTGGTAAATATACTGTGCGGCACATTAACAAGCTGCCATCCGCTGTCATCGCTCCGGCTCACTCATCCACTCCCTCTACTTCTCCGATGGTTCAGATCATTGGATAGTTCATAGTTACGATGACACGATAATCAACAGTGTCCACTTAAATCTGTTGATGCCATTAGATTCAGTGATGGAGACCAGCCAGGATTATCTTGTATCTTTCTGTAATAAACGACTGTCTCAGCAGACAGCAGAAAAAAAAAATGTGGCGCCTCCAATATCGTCTCCATCACAGGCCCATAATGTTTGCTGAGTGTGAACACGCACTGATACACATGACACACATCACATCCTGCCCCCAAGTTTCATGGTCTTTGTGTAATAATGCTGACCAACAAACAAACAAACAAACAAACAAACAAACAAACAACCTCTGTGGCAGATGTATAAGATAAAACAGGAAACTTGAAAGGAGAATAGTAACAGCGACCTTTAGAAAAAAGGAGTATAACTGTGGAAGAAATGTCAGTCTACATTTCTTCCACCGTTATACTCCTTCCCACAGTATAAATATATATAAAAACATCTGCGGTAACGACAAACCGCAGTTCATTTACGATAAATAGTGAAGTGACAGCACTTGGAGGAGACGGAAAGAAGCCTTGCTCACAGCTGCTTCATTTAAAGATGCTGCTGGTTATTTTTAGCTCTTTCTCGTTCTCACTCTTTCCCCACTCGTCTCCCACTCACCACTTTGTCTCCTCCGCTCTTTTGTCCATCTGTTTTTCTTTTCTTTTTTTTTTTTTCCTGTGCAGACTCTGATCAATTCACAGAGAGAAAACACAGCATTTACTCCTCTCTGCTATTATGACATGAAAGAGGGAGATCAAACTTCAAGGTGACTTCACGTGTGGAAAGAAAGAAGAGGAGAACAATGACGGAGGAAGAGAATGAAGAAGTGAGTCAGGAGCGCAGGATTATTCACACTGGAGGAGGCTGGGCAGCAGGACAGGGAGCTGGGGGTGGAGCGGGAGAGAGAGAGAGGATCTGGGGGCCATTAATCAATCGACTTGTCCTGACGCAAGACAAAGCACAGCTGACGTGAAGGTCCTCGGCTGTCAGAGCTACTTTACCGCCTACAGTATCCCAGAGAGGGGGGGGGGGAGAAAAAAATGGAGATGAGAAAAAGGATGGCGTGACGATTAGGTGAAAGATGGTGAGACTGAAAAACAGAGGTAAAGGCTGGTTTCACGTCTCTGCCTTGTTTTGGAAAGTTAAAATCAACGGGGAAAATAAATACCTGCTCTGCGCGAAGATTATTTGAAGGATGAAGATTATTTTACGGTTCCAGTGGAGGAGCAGTGACTCGGCTTCACAGACACATTGAGCAGAATCAGAGGAGTCAGTTTGTAAAATGAAAGAGCTCATGTCTCTTGGGTTATAATTGCCGTGAGATAAAGTGACACTTTATCTCACACTTGGATCCAAACGTACCATTCTCCTCTGTCTCACGTGAACCATAATGTAAACCTCATTCAAACCACTACTTCTTCATCTCGGTGCAAAAAGCAACAATGATTAAATGTGAATTACTGAATAAAATGCAGGAAGTTTTTACTTTCGTCCGATGTGCTGCTCTTCATTAATTGGATCATTTAGGGGTTTACCAGAAACTGTCTCATTATAAGAGATAACTTCTCTACTTTTTAACTTCGGCTTAAAGTTTAAGCTTCATTATTCATCTCGATGGAGCAGATGTTTTTATTTGGAGTTTTTCATGCATATGTTTCCACAGTGGTTTGTCTTTTGGGGACTTATTTACATTTGTATGTTAGTTCTGGCCTCACAGTCTTCCCTGGAGATGTTATTTCCCTGCAGCCCTTTGGTTTTATTGGTTCACTATGTCACTGTCAGTGGCCGGGGTCATCTAATGTCCATATTGTCTCCATCAACTCATCTCTATCTGTGTCAGGGACAAAGGACATGAATCCTTGAGTAACACGTTTAAAGGAAACACAGATTGACTGGCACAATAAATGTCTTTCATATTGTTCTTACTACAGAACGGATCAATAAATCATTTAACGGAAAAAAGGAGCATTTATCTGTAATGTTGTTCAGTGTAGGTGTATAATACAACTATGGATATTTGTTGTTCCGAACATTATCATAGTTCATAGTAACACAACATTCATGTATTCACTACCACATCTTTGAAGTATACTAGTTTTAACCAGAAATCACTTCTGGTTCTTCATGTACTGTTTTTAGAGCAGCTAAGAAGAGGAAGTACACGATGTGTATTCCTAGATTTAGTTTAGTTGTACAACATTGATAACAATCACCACAAAATACTCGATCCCTCTAACTTCTACTGCGTGAACGAGCAGCATCAATGTAAAAATAATCTTTTCCTTTGAGGCAGAGCGTGTATCATGCGTGAGGAGGAGTTTTTATATGACGAAGAGTAAACTGTTCTCTGTCAGGACCACAAGGCTGCGAGAGAATAAAGAGCCATCACTGTCACCCAGTCTGACATTAATGTCAATGCCACAGCAGTAGAACACAAAGATTAATAGAAACCATGGCAACTGTTAGCAAACTGTGTCGCCTCGCCTGAGTTCCTCACTGAGGCCGTAAATCACATAATCCTGCAGAGGCGACTGACTTTTATAGGCTTCATTTGTGTTTTATATTCATGTCAGTGCTGAAATGGGTCAAGTCCCACACAGGTGGCCTTGGTCTCTACGAGGTGGATGTCGGAGCTCTTATGTGACCTTATGTGACTTGTTGGAGCAGATGCTGTGGTTTCCCAGGTCTATCTGATCACTTCTGATCACTCACTGGATCAATAATGGCTTTGACAACAGCTCTATGCCCGTCACTGACTCCACAGAGTCACACAGGACTTTTACTAAAGGACATTTCCAAAACATAAAGTCCACAGTGGAGGTTATAAAATCACGGCTTGATTCAGTGTCAGCGGGCAAAACTGTACTGATGGTAAATATGGTAGATTTTAACAATCCAACACAATGAAGCATTTAATATCTACAAAAACAAATTGTTTGAATTAATATCATATAAAATGGGTTATTATTTGCATTAAACCAAACAGAGAAGAACTGGAGTTTTACCGTGTACATATCTTTAGTATCTAATAACGTACTTTCTTTTCCACCTGATTGTAAAAGCAGGACGCAAGTATTGCCAGTAACGATTACATTAAATTGCATTGATTATCGCTGACTGACTCAGTCCAGTTATTTCTTTGAACAGATCGATGCAGTTGAATTGGCATATTTACAAATTGACAAATGAACTGATGCATTGATTCAACTGAAACGAAAAAAATAAGCAGTTAATGTTGTTATTGATGAGTTGTTTGTTTCATTGAAAAGGTCAATGTCCTGTTCTTCCTTCTCAAAGGTCAGACATTGAATCATCCATGGATGCAGCCATGCAAACCCTTCCTGCCATCAACTGTTACCACTGAACAAACACCGCGAACCACAAAATGAGAACGGTGATTCCTCTGCAAGCTCAACGTGCGATAACATAAACGGACGCTGTTGGAAATCATTGTAATTTATCAGGTTAAATTTGAACAGCAAAATCCAGGAATTATTTATCAACCACATTAAAGTGTTTTCTGGTGATGCAATGCACCTACAAACACACTCGCGTGTTTGGCTACAAATACAGAAAACACAACACACATTTTATAAGAAACGTCACTGGAGCACCCAGAAGAAATGTTCATTATTTGCCTCCAAAGGTTTCCACCGTACAGTCAGCTCACACCATCTGACGAACCTGACGCATGTGCCCTGAAATGTTCCGACACTCGTCAATAACATCTGACGAGTGATTGATTACGGTTTGTTCTGCCCTTTAAGACTTTCCTCTCCCCTGAGACCCTGAGTGTGTGTGTGTGTGTGTGTGTGTGTGTGTGTGTGTGTGTGTGTGAGTGTGTGTGAGTGTGTGTGAGTGTGTGTGTGCAGTAGTGTACAGTGGATGAGGTAGTGACAGCCAGGCCTTGATTTCTGCTCACCCCCCGACCACAGGTTGGGAATCTGATGTTGATCATACAAGCAGATGACAGATGGACTCCAACCATGAAATCAGAGGAGGTGCTGCAGCGTGTGTGTGTGTGTGTGTGTGTGTGTGTGAGTTGGTCACCTGAAGCAGTGTTGATGGTCCTGACAGCCTCCCTGGCGGCGCTGACTCTGTTGTTAGGTGGGTAGTCAGGGACAGCGTTGTCATTGCGCTTCTCAGACATTCGTGGGCTCACCTTGGCAGGTAGATGACTGAGAGAGAAATGTCAGAATTAGATAACGAGACAGTGTGTGTGTGTGTGTGTGTGTGTGTGTGTGTGTGTGTGTGTGTGAGTGTGTGTGTGTGTGTGTGTGAGTGACAGATGCTTTAACCATACAAGATTTGTGTTTGAAACACTGCCTGGTTTCCATTATAACTGCTGACAATCTGAGTTTTACACATAATGCCATGATACATGTGCACAGTCATAAACACACACACACACACACACACACACATTCCCAATTTCACAGCGTCTGATACTCTCCGTCTCACCCTGATTGGCTGTGCTGTTCGTCAATGGCGTCCACAGCACTTTCCACAGAGCTCAGCAGAGACTGGATCTGATTGGCTGATTCCTTCAGGAGGAAACGTGTCACAAACTGCTCCACGTTGGTTCCTCTTTCATAAACCTGGGGACACAGAAGTCAGAAGGTAAATCATTGGTTTGATCATTTCTCTCTGAAGAAAACTTTTAAACAGTCAAGTTTATTTTCCTTGTTTCCGTGTTTGTCACACATCACATCTTCCCGTTTCACTTCCTCTGAGTTCCCTCATTGAATCTCAATCGACTGAACATTCCTTCAGTTAATATTCAGCAGAGCACAAAGCTAGACTGAAATATCATCCACCTTCTCTGATTAAACACAAAAGCCTTTAAATCAATTAAGTCTTCGCTCGTCAGCATCGTTCACATTTTAACTCTTAGCACATTCAGCTCAGAGCTTATTGATCCATTAGTAATTAAACACTTTCATGAAACTGACTGTCGATGTGAACCCTTGAGGCGAAACGTGAAATTTTCTAACCTGAGTAAGACTTTCTCAGGACTGAAAACCAGAGACATGACATCCAGACGGCAGCATGAAAGTCTCAGTGCTGCGCTGAACTGTCAGAGGAGGCAAGACTGGAGCTCCTGCTTTAACTCTGATGACCTTATCTCCCACCTTTTAATTATTTAGGGAGCTGAGCGCTAAAAACACCTTCCCTGAACACTGGTTGTCCAATCACAGCTTAGCAACGGTAACTAGGCACATCGGGCTTGTCAAGCTGTGGGTTTCCACACATGTTGAAGCTGCGTCTGCTGCTCAGGACTCTGTTTTTAAAGAGTGGGTGGTGTCTGTATTTAGTCTCAGTACAAACAAACCACAACAACACAATTACCTCACATCAGTGGGACCTTGATGCAGCAGCTTCACACCACGAGCGCTACCGCCGAGACTCCTGGGTCCGAATTTCATTGCGAACGCAAGATTTCCTTGGCTTACTCTAAATGCTACTGTTCAAGTTGCTGGGAGACATTTAAGGCCAAAGAACCATCAGATTATCACATGAAAACCTCAGTATCGAAGGCAGGGTCATAATTGCCTGGATATCTTCTCCGCAGAGGCGAGTCAGTCGCTCATGTCAGCTTTACTGTCAGAAGTCACAGTGCAGTGATTCAGGGAGACAATTAAGGTTCCATGTGCAGTCAGCCTTCCTCTGCTGCACTCTAATCAAAGACAACCGGCCCCACGAGACGCAGAATCACACTGGCCGCATTGACTTCCATTATTACAGTCAATGGCTTCTACACACGTATACACACACATGCACACATGTCCACATGCAAACCTGCTCTTATTGACTCAGAGGATTCTCCTTCTCATCAGTTCATGTGAGCAACAGACCAGTAAACCGCTTCGGAATTCCATTAACATCCATTCGAAACGCAAAATACACATTTCTCTTAAAAACAACCAACAGAAATCACTATGTTTACAATACTACTGCAAAATTTCAAGATTCTCAATTAAAAGACTTTTGTAACGTGAATCATGTCCAGTACCGTCTGTGCAGTGTGTTTTTTTTATTAGTGTTTGCAATACTTTTTTTCCCCTGCGTGGTTCCACTTCTCTGTTCTCTGCTACGAGCACTAATATTTATTTTAAATGACACAATGAAACAATCGGGTGAGAATTTCCCTCAGGACGAATTCAGATGTAACTGTGGCTCTTTTATTAACCAGCAGATTCGGAATAAGAATTAGAGACATGATGGATGAAGTCAGGAAACTCTAAAGGCTGAAAGATGAGACGGGAGGAAAATGTGCCTGGATAATTGGTTGTTTTTCATTTACGGTCAGAATAAAAGCCTTATTAAACGCACACACACACACACACACACACACACACAGCAAATGTGATGTCTGTGTTTAAAGTCAGTACGCATGTGTATTGCATATTCTGATGTTCAGGGAATCTCAGTGAAGTACTTCAATGCTTGAAATGTTTCTGTCATAATTAAACTGCATCCTCGAAGCAGTGTGTGTGTGTGTGTGTGTGTGTGTGTGTGTGTGTGTGTGTGTGTGCATATTAAACTGTCTGTATGTGTGGGTGTATGTATGAGTCATAAATTACATACAGTAAACACTTATTTTCTAAGCCTATACAGTGTTGCCATGGTCCGTGGTTACCATCCATAGTCGGCCGGCGCTTGGAAACCATGACGCAGTCTCCAGCCTAAATAAAAAGGGACGTCAGTAAACCCTTGGATTTAAGAAGTGGTCAAACCTCCAAACATAACCTCAAACTAATCGGTTCAGCAGCTGTGGATCAGACCTTAACAACGTTCGAAGAGGAAATTTGGACAAATTTCTGAAATTCCTAATCTGAGCCATGTTCTTCAGATATCTGGTGTAAACAGCTCTCTGGTGTCATTTCACACCGAGTCCGGAATCAACAGAAGAACCAAACTGCAGAAGGTTGAATTGTGTCTTCTATTTTAAAATCTGCTCCTCACTTCACCCTGTCCTCCTCTCCCCTCATTGCTTCCCCCCTTCTCTCTCTCTCCCTCCCTCCTGTATATACAGTAGCATCCTCTCTCGCCCTCCGATGAACGTGTCCCACAGGCACAGCTTCAAAACCCGGGATTGAAAAAAGCTGTGATCTATAATTCACACAGATCACGGACCCTGGAGGAGATACACCATCGCTCTCCGCTGGCTCCCTCCAACAGTGGAGCTACATTTGATTTTATTGTTAGCATGTGTGACTGTGTGTGTCTGTGTGTGTTTGTGTATGAGGCAGTGTGAGTGTGCCAGGGTTTGCTTATGTTGATGTGGCTGGTTTTGTGCGATGATTGATGACGGAGCTCTCCAGGATTTATCACACTTATGAGGCTCAATATTTTTTATTGTGTATATTTTTCACACATCACCGAAGGCTTCGTTTGAAACGGTGCACGGATGCGACACATGCACAGAGTCTGACCCCAAGTCACTGGATCGACCTTTATTTTCCAATAAGTGGAGGTGACGTGTTATTTATAAGATGAGAAAAATTTAATCTGGTAGGAGTAATTGACCGTGCCAACAGGTCGTGTGTGTGTGTGGAATTGTTTCATATCTCGTGCAGTATTTCCTCTCATCTTCTTGGGCGTTAACAACAAATCTCCTCATTACCATCCACCTATGCACTTGCATATATGTATAGGGGATCTCACCACTGCAGCACACGCGCACACGCACATACATGCATGCGCTCCTAGCCTGTTATTCCAATGTAAAAATATAAAGTCTTATTTCTTAAACAGGCCAAATGTCCTCAATCCGTAAGGTCCTCACAAAGATAAAGAAGTATGCACACACACACACACACACACACACACACACACACACACACACTCTGAATCTTTTGTGATAAGATGTTGGTGGCTGATTACAGGGTGTTGCAGGAGTAATCAGTGATTACAGAGATTGGTCTCGTTAGGGGAAATTATTCCTTCTTCTGTGACTCAGATGGAGATACAGAGGCTGTGCGGAGCGGGTGGGAGGTGACAGGGATGCAGGCCTCCAGTGTGAGAGGTGTAATCGGCTGATAACAGTGATGTTTTCACTCAGGCGGAGTGTTAAGGATATTTCACTGTCGCTCTTCAACTTGGACTAATGAATTTCACCGAGGTGGCAAAATAAACAACTGGTGCATAAACATGAAACAGGCCCTGACCAATAAAAAGAAAAACACCATGAATTGTTAAGAGCTAAGTAACATGATAAAGAACACGATACAGTCATGAGATATAGATACTGATTCAAAGATTTAAAGGACAAACGAATTGCTAAGTTTATGGTCAGTAACTGATTTCAGTTACCTGCTGTTGTTTTACATCTTAAATCTCTCATCTTGCATTCTCACTTTAAGCAATGAATAAATCCCAGTGGACCCAACCGGTCACGTAATCGTCCAGCAGTCCTGTACCTTACAATTACATTAAGATACTTATAATTAGCAACAGCAGACATGTTTTGGGAGAAACATTTTCATGAATGTATCCACCAAGTGACAAAATGCTCACACTGATCCTAAACGTATCTGGGACGCAGGATAAAAGTCCCGGGGTCCTGTGTCGGCTGCAGAGCTTTGTACGCCCACTCTCTCTTTGACTTAACATACTAATGGAGTCTGTTGATAGAAAATAAGTTATATAAATGTGATTTCTAGGAAAGAGGGTCGAGTGAAGCAGTCATCAATGTGGCAACTATTTTATAAGAGCCCATCTTTAAAATAGTCTTAAAAGAGGAAACTGAGGTAGCTCGTCTGATTGACAGGAGGTGGTTCCATGGCTTTTATGATAGTCAACGATATTAACGCGTCTTCTGTAGAGTAAACAAACTATAGCTCGATATAAAAAAGCTGGAAAGAGGTTGATTCTCACAAAGGCTTGTTGATTAGTTCCTGTTTTGTTCCACTCCATCGGCACTATGATTATTATTGTCTAGAAAATCGAAGCAATTCGTTTCCATTTAACGAACTCATTTCAGGTAAATAACCTTCTTTCAGTCTGCATTGATAACTATCAACACCAAAGCTTCCTGCGCAGCGTCGGGCCATTTGTCACTTTAACTCTCCTCTTTACCGCAAACACACAGACGAGAATTGACTTCATTCACTCGGAGGGTGTTGATGCTTCAGTCCACAACAGCATGCACCAATCTGTAATGATGTTCTACTCCATAATAAGACAGTGAGTGGCTCTCTCCATCCTGAGTAACCAACAATCAAGAGTAATGATGGGGGGGGGAGAATAGTTTATTGGGTAAATAATCTCACAACAGTTTCACCGGCTTCAACAGGACAAAGGTTACAGTGATGGAGAAAGAGGAAGGTGTCAGGAAACACAAGGTGGAGGAGGGATGTAAGTGTTGGTATCGATCCACTTTATAATTCCCTACATCCAACAGCTTAGCCAAAAGGAGCTTAATCACTCTCAACTGACTCGAGAAATCAGGGCACCTCAATCAGTTCTCTCAAGGGAGGAGAGGAGAGGAGAGGAGAGGAGAGGAGAGGAGAGGAGAGGAGAGGAGAGTCTCCTCCATCGCTGTATTTACGTCTGAAACAAGTGAAAATAGATGAAAGTTGAGAATCATCGCATCGGAGGATGAAGATTCTTTCATTCTTTTTTTTCCAAAGAGGTTTAAATACCCTGTGGAGTTCTTCACCAGAGGCTTCATGGTGAATGTTTGTATGAATGGATATGAACCATTCAGTAGAAGATAAAACACAGTTTAACCATCGGAAGCAATCAGCAGACATATTAAACCCCCACGTTTCATTGAAGGGAGCAGGTTGGCCTTCTGGAATCAGAGGTGACATGTGGCACAACAGCCATCGGCATCGCTGCACATTCCACCTCCTTCTTTTAACTGCCGCCATGGAGGCAGAAGAACAATACACCCCCCCCCCCCCTCGAGTTTATATCTTTAATATATCATGACAAGGCAGAATAAAGGCGTAACATTCACTCCTTACGAGTTCCAATCCCTGTGAGCACAACTCCCCGACCCTCATCCTTCTTCACTCCCTGACTCCCAGATCACCTACAAACTCCTCCTCCTCCTCAATCCCTCCTTGGCCTCTACAACCTCTAACCCCGTCCAGGAATCTGCGATCCTCCGACCGAGGTCTGCTCACCATCCCCTGACACCAGAGAGCTTCCAGCGAGGCAGATCCGCATCCTCTGAGATTCGCAAAACCTCGTCCATCTGGACACTCAGAAAATTACTCAAGGCTTTTTAAAAACGGCATATGACCAAAATCCACACGTCGTCTATATGTTTGTTCCCTTTGATATGTCCCTTAAATATGTTATACATTTATTATTATAAAAAACCTGATTAGGTGAAGAGGAGTGAAGAGGAGTGAAGAGGAGTGAAGAGGAGAGAGGTGAAGAGAAGAGAAGAGAAG